TCCATGCAGCATCTCCACCTAGATTACTGTCAGTACAGCTGGGTAAGGCTTTCCTGTTCTCCAACCTCAGAACGCTCCACTAATCCCACATCAAGGCCCTGCTTGTACTCTAAAGAGCCTCAGCTGTGCTGGGTCCACCTGCAGAGATCACTCATCTCTCTGGCCTGCACTTTAAAGAGGAAAACTCACCAGACTGTGAGGGGAAACGACACTCTCTAAAACGAATGAGCTAAGTGAAGGCGGGGACATTTTATGGCAGCAGTTGCTGGCTGGCAGTGATAGCACCAGCACTGAATTAGCTCTGCAAAATTCAGTTAGCTTAACGTTTGTAAGAGTAAATTTAATACTGGGAATTTTTGCTGTGTTCTGACATGCCACACACTGGAATACACCCACACTCCCATAACACCATACACAGAGATGCAGGTGAATCTCATTCCAGAGGGATTTAGCATAGCTTGGCCTGTGGGGGTTTTGGAGGGGAGAGTCAATTACCTGCAGCTAATAGAGCACCTGAGCACACACACAGCAGGATCTCTGGAGATCAAGAGGACAGCACCACTACCACGGCAACAGCGCCTGAGAATACAGCAGCCTATACCCCAGAGAAGCATCTACACAGAATTAGCTCACTCAGGGGTGAGATACTGCAGACATTTCCCACTGAGAATCTAGTTGAATGAGACAAAACTAGAGATTACAATGATTCTGACCAAACCCCTGCAGCTCAAAGGTTTGCAATGGGCTGACTACACGTACCTCACACAGACATAACAACAACAACGGATTATGCATTAGACACCAAGACATTCAGACCATTAAGAATTAAGAAGAGCATATAAAAAAAGAATGGCAACACTTCCTTTTACCGTCACTCACTACAAGTACTATGTATTAACTAGGTAAGTATGAATTACAAGCTCTTTTAAGTAAAAAGGTGGGCACGTACTAAGATAGTCTGAAGTAAAAGTAAAATACACTGAAATACCTAGCCAATAAGCAGAAAAAAACCTGGAATAACAATATAAGTACCAATACGGTCTCATTTAATTTTACCATAATGTCACATAATTAGGCTGGAAAGTAAATCATAAAAATTTTAAGTAAATTGTAGGAAGCCAATAAAGCCATAGTAAAAATTATTTTACAGCCCAGATTCAGTTTCAGTTTCAGGTAACAGAGAGGTACATACTACATAAGACTCTTTATACTGCCTTCTTATCATCACTGTCGTGCAAACTCTTTGTATCTTCATTTTTGTAATTTTCTACTTTTTTGCATAATTAAAAAAAACTACCCCTTTTTTTAATTTTCATGATGAACAGACTAATAAAAATGGTCCAAACAGACTAATAAAAATGGTCCAAACTTCTATTACAAGTTAAGAATTAAGAAGTTAAATTTTCTCATCCTCCTGTAAAGTTACCCTTTTGGAGATTTTGTTCCAACTACTGCCTTTGTACTGCCTTTTTACCTCATATAAGTAACTGGGACTTCGAGGTTTTTCCAATTTACTTTCCCACTTAAACGCATTACAGTGAAATTAAGGGTAAGAATGGCAAGTGACAATTTCCTTAACCTCCTTAACAGCTAGAACCTGTTAGGTATTTCAGTTTAGTTTTAGTTAGACTATCTTAGTACTTACCTCTCTTTATGCCCAAAATAGTTACACAATGTGATAATACACCAATGTTCAAAGAATGCAATAAACAAGCAATGTGACAGTAGGCCGTGGTTGCCATGCAGCATAACGGTCAAAGAGCATTCGAAGAACAGCGTGATGGTTTTCAAAAACCTGGCGAATTAATATTGATGAATGTGGTCATATGGGTATATATCATGTATTTTACAGTGACTGTGATCGCAGCCAATCAGAGTTTAGAAATGTAACAACTTGGTTTATAAGATCAAAGCATCAAACATACTATATAGTTTTATATAGTACGTTTTTCCAACTTGCTATATTCTGCAGATTTTACCATAAATATTATCAGCAATGTGTTTTTGCCTTATTTGTTTGTTTATTTGTTTGTTTGTTTTTGACACTCTTATTTTTTGCCTGCCTCATTAGTATACTGCCTCAGAGCCAGACATTTGAAATCTAATAGCATTGACTGAATAGAAATGTAAACTGACATTAGAAAAGGTGAAGAAGACAAGTTAGCCCTGATAAAATCTCAGGTTGACAGAAGGAAAGGCCTCCAACCCAGACACATTGATTGGGAATTGAATTAAGAACCTCAGTGGAAAGAGACATAATGCAATAGAGCGGCCATATGTGACATTTAGTGGCTGAGACGAGCTTTTGTCCTGCTCCTACACCAGCCTCATCAGAGCTGAGGATGAAAGCAGCTGAATTTCAAGAAGATTTTTATCCTTTAGCGTCCACTGGTCGAACGCTTATCACCATGGTTCCAGCTACTTAAATGACTTCTGGTCAAGCAGGTCAGCAGAGACCATGTGAAAGAGTTACTATTCTCTCAGTGAGGTAAAATCCACTGTCTGGTACTTAGTAAAGTTATAAAGTTAAATTATTTGTAAATTTAGTGCGATCAATGAAGATAACAAGGAGTTAAACTAGAGGTTCACTATTTAATTATTTCACTTTTAAAATCTTAGTATACACTAAAAAATAAGGCTGATATCATATTTTAAATGCTTTTGAACAATCCAGTCCTCAAAACTGAAACCAAGTGTGCACTGAACTGCAAAAAAGTCTTGAGCATTGTGAGCATCCACACTTAATTGACACAAAGAGGCATATTTTGGAGAATTAGTGCATCTGAGCAGACCCCCATCACTAACAAACACACTCACGCACACGCATACCAAGTCAGCCAAGAGGACCGAACTGCCGTCGCTATGGAGACAAGGGCAGCCAGCTCCTAACAATGCTATTTTTGTAATGTGAGAGATAGAAGCTACTGTTTTCCCACTTCTCCTTCTCCGGCAAACTGCTTTTCATTCCCTCCGTAATAAAAAAAAGTGTTTTGTGAGGAAAGGAGGCCAGCTGTTACATAATCTCATCTTCATAGGAGTTGCTCTGGATACGCCAGGCCAATCGTGGCAGCAGCAGAGTAAGGGAGTGGCCCACCATCAATACAAACACACCAGCACGCAGCCTGCAAACCTGACTGTTCATAAACGCACACCGATCTCATCTATCTCCATAACATAGTGCGACAGGAGGCTATATATGTGATTCAAAGCAAACAGCATGGGTTTTGAAATAACAGCAGACGCTAATGAATCAATTTTGCTCAAGCCGAGTACTCGAGATATCAAATCACTATGTAATTAGCACTCGATTACAAAACACCCGTCAAACTTTATGAGCTCGTTCTGAGTTGCTCCCTTGCCTCCTTGTCGTGAGAGGACAGGAATTAAATACCTGGGTGATTACAGCCCCATATTACAGCCTTGGCGGTCACACACCCTCCTCATAACCCATGTTCATTTGCAGAATATGTGTCATCTTGGCTTGGTGACTAATGGAATAGAGTGGAGCTCATTTGCAGGCTGCAGCATGTCGCATCCGCTTAGTGGCAGTGTGATATAGCACAGATTAAATTAGAGACCAGGCAGCTGGCACTTTCTTCACATACACACACCCTTTCTGACACACTCTCGGGCCATCGCACCTCTGCTAGGATGCACTGTGCGTAGGGGGACTGACAACAAGACTGAAAGTGTAAGTGACATGATTCTCTTGTGTGTAAAGAGTTTGTTTTTAGACAGCATTGACTAAGAAATCCAAATATAGTTGACTTGTCTCGGATCTGGCTGGCTAACGATTGCCTTTATGGGGCCCTGAAGAGTTTAAGGTAGCTTAAAATTCAAAGTTGAGGTTCACTTTCCCACTCCTGTCCTATGGTCCTTCAATCAAGGAGGCATTAAATCACTATGTATCATTTTTCAAAGCAAATGTTCATTAAAATAATAATATTTATTTATTTTTATTCTTTTAACAATAATAATAATAATTTGTAGTAACTGCCATTCTGGACTCTAGAACACCTCTAGGAGTTCTAATTTAATATATTCTATATCATGTAAATGTTTACATGTTTATATTAAGGTTCCTGAAAGTTCAGAAACGTTCTTCACATTTTGCTGCCTGGTTTATAAAAATTTTGTAGCACCTTTATTTAAAAAAAATGCTAAATAGTAATATAGTAAGTGTACACTGATCTTCTAAAAACATCCTTAAAGTAAACTTAAGGTAAACCGTACTTAAAGTAAAATGTATGGTACATCCCCATTAATTCTTATGGTATATGCCCATAAATTGTTATTGTTATTAAATCCTGTGGTATACCCACATTAAATGTTATGTATATTCCCAATAATTCTTATGGTATATGCCCATTAATTCTTATGGTATACGCTCATTAATTCTTATAGTATATGCTTATCAATACTTATGGTATTTCTGCATTAATTCTTATGGTATATGCCCAAAATACTTACAGTATATGCCCATAAATTATTGTGGTATGTCCCCCATGATTTATTATGGTATATGTCCATTAATTCTTATGGTATATGTCCATTAATTCTTGAACCTTTATTTATGTATTTATATATATTTTGGGGGGTGATTTTCAAATGCCTCATTTTCCAAATGAACCATTCTTCTTCACTGTGAGCAAAACTAATAAAGTGTTGTTAATGGACGGCAATGTGGCACCAACATATTCAGTATTTAAGAGAACTACGATAAAGCTATCCTTGTGCGTATATAGGCACATGTATGTGTGTGTGAGACAGAGAAAGAGAGATGGGTGGGGGGCAAGAGATAAACAGAAGAGGAAACTGTATGGTGGAGGAGGAGCTCTCTTTTAGACAAAACAATAACAACGCCCAACAATGCAGCATAAGCAGACATATCAAAGGGATGCTCTCTCTTTTGAACTTTCATCCACTAGATATGTTTACAGCAGGTGATTACACTTCAGAGAGATTTAAAAAAAGCTGGGGGAAGACTGGGGCTGACTTACTGAAACCACTGTCCTCCTCTTTCGTTCCGTCAATGGTTCCATCTGCTTGGAGCTGCAAATGGAAGCCCTGCCGACTGTACAGCTTCGTCACGATCCCCTTCAGCTGGGGCTCTGAGGAACAGAGAGAGAGAAAGAGAGAGAGAGAGAGAGAGAGAGAGAGAGATACACTGTGAGACAGGCATGGCTACAGTGGATTGTGACTGAGGCTCTAGCTGCAGGCTTAGCTGGGTTCTCCATGCTTCAGAGGTTTGAGCCTGTAATACAAACAAGCCTTGCAGATGAGCACAAGCTGTGCCATAGACACAGAAACCAAAGCAGAAACAAAGAGCTTATACCTGCCGCTCTTACACTAGCTAGAGCAAATCCAATGTCCTCCACATGCAAGAAAACCCCATGAGAAAAAGGATGCCAATATACATTATATATATATTATTATTAGAGAACTATTATATTATTAGAGAACTATTATGTTAAACTACACTGAACTATATATTTCTTCTTTTATAAATGAATATTTAATCTGTTGTACAGTGGTCAAAACCTCATAGCTTCATTTTTTACACCATTTGAAAATGCCAGCTGTCCTCAGTGAATGGACCAACAGAGAAGGTCCAAAATTAACTGGAATGAAATTTCATTACATTAACGTTACAGGGAAATTCCACCATGCATAATTGTTGAGATGAAAAGTAAATAATTCAGAGTGGTTTGATGTGAAATGGTGTATTGCAGAGTCTGGGTAAATTTTAGTCCCTCAAGGTGCAAACAATGAAGGCACAACATTGTCCTTAAGGTGCAACTGTGTACTTTAAATGAGTTTTAAAGGTATGTTGTGTTCTCTTTCCGAGGGGAAAGGGGCATGTTTGTACCTTTTCATACCTGCACTTTATTACATAAATAATGGACAGGAAGGACAGAGTGTCTGGAGTCAATGTAACTCAAAAATTAAAAATCCAATTGGAATATGGTACTAACTAAAGGAACTGAAGATGCACGCTTGAAGGTACCACCCCAGTGACAGCGTCTGTACCTGGTAAGATTCTTTTCTGAGAGTGTGACTCAAAATTTCTTGGTGGTGCTAGGAACCAGGGATGTCTACAACACAAAGCAATTTTAATTACTATTCAAAATGACTAATAAATCTACACGTCTTTGAAGTTGTTGTATTTTCTTTGGGTACTATGTCCTACATGTACCTTTACACCATGAATGAATTTTAAAAACTTATGTTTTATGCCAAAATCTTATCTCAAAACTATAGTAAAACAATGTCTCGTGCATTAGGCAACATATTTGTAAAAATTTAAGAATTTTTTGTGCGACAGCTTTTAGCAGTATTGAATGCTTTGGATGTCTGGTTCCTATCACCACTGTTATGAACAATTCTGACTTTCTCTGGAATGCTGCATTTCACATTACATCACTCTGAATTTCATTACACTGTAATGACTGAATTATCAATGTAGAATTTCTTTTGTTAATAATGTATAATTTATAAGGTATTTTTTTCCCTCTCCAGTAAAGTTACCATTGTAGAGATAGAAAATTTTGTTTTGACAGTGATAATTTGCTGTTTATAAATGTGCTATATGAATAAACTTGACCTGACACACCATGACTTTATTAATGTCATTAATGTCTTATGGATGATATGAAAACGATAAAGCCTTGTATTAATAGACTAATTAACATGCATGGCTTCATGAACCACAGATTTCAGTGCTGTCGTAACAGTGTAGCCCAAAGCTCTTTCTAATTGGCTGCTTGTAAGACTTAACCATGCAAGGATCTGTTCTGGAGCCATTTTGCAATGCATATAGCTTCCTTCTCATGTTCGTCACTAGCACCATGTCAGTGTTCTCTACCACATTTTATACCATCTTTCATCTCCTCCATCATCTGCACTACATCTCCAGCTACTGTCTTTCCTCTCTACTTCCACAAAAGTTGCCTTGGTAATACGAATGCTATTTTTTGCTCCACTAACTTCCTGTTTAGAGCTTCTCTCCAGACGCAAAGAGGCAGATGCTCTTTCAAGTTGCTGGTTTTGATTTCAATTACTGGGGCTAAGAAGCAGATCTATAGACATGGTGTCTCTTCAGGGGACTTCCCTACATGAGAAACCTTACAGCCTGATGCCTGTAATTACTCTGTAGGTATGAGGCTGAGTGGGCTAGTGCAACAAGCTGTTGGATTGCCTCCAGCCTCTGAGGAGCCTTTCTGATGTGGGCAGGTTTAGGGATGCGTGTACAGCCTTCACACTGGAAACACATTGGAGTGGTTGGTTTGAACAAAAGGGAGTGAGCAGCTAAAACTGAATGCATAATACATTTAAGAAAGTATAACATCAACCATTAAACTGTAGAGTGCTATGTGAATACGCGCAGGTCAACTTTGAGATCACAAAGAGTGGAAAAGTACATTTCTTCAAGTAAAAAAATTCTGCTCACTAAGACTGCAAAGATGAATGAACAACAATATTACGTGTAAAAAAACAAGAAAAAAGTTAATGGGTCGACATGTCATTCACTCAATAGTGCTCTGTACATGCAGTCATTCAGACAGATTGCAGTACTCTGCAGGAAAGGTGGGGGCGATGTGGCTCCTACTGTTTCATAATACAATAAAAAAGTGCTTAAAAAATCGCTTGACAGCAAGGTTATTCCATTTTTTAAATTTCCATTAGTTTTTACTTTTGTTTTTCAGTTTAGTTTCAATAAGCGCTAAAAGCATTTTGTTTTTATTTAGTATTTTTTAATTAATATATTATTAGAGACCAGGGTGTAATTCCAATTGGATTGTTGTTTCTGATGAGTCTCACAAATGGTGAATTAGCTCAACAGTAGACTATGCTCAGCAAGGTTGCCCAAATGTAAGGTTTAAAATATATGGAATCCACTTCTAGACCGTCTTCCATACACTGAAAAAAGCAAAACCTACTACGTTTTTTTTTTTCTCTGAAAAAACTTTTTTGTTGTGTTTTTGTTTCTTTTTGTAGTGAACATCAGAATTTTGTTTCATTTTAATTTAATGAATACATGTTTTCCACTCTAGTTTTCATTTCAATATAGGTGTTAACCCAAAGGTTTTCCACATAAAAATATGTTTATTTTCACTATTTTCCTAGTTTCCCTGTAAACTCAGGTTAGTTAACATGAATAATTCTGCACTGACATTTGTTTCTCATTTTCTGTTTAAACAGACTTACTAGTCTAAGCGCTGTGCTCACACTGTGGGTGGTGGTGTACTGATTTATGTGAAATTTGTCGTTGAGCGCACTCTGTACAAAGCAAACAGAATATTGCGAGAACTGAGCCAAACTCATTAGCTGATTGTCATTAGAGGGTCAAAGGTTAACTTTCTGTGTGCCTTAAATACGTACTTAATATAGCACAACAATTAAGACATGGAGAAGTATTAGCAATCTTAGCTTGCAGATCAGTCAGCTCATCGTAGAACACAGCCTGACTCTAACTCTTTCTCTTTTGTCTCTCTCTCTCTGACTGCCTTTGTGTTTGTATGTGACTTGAACTGTGGCTCAGAAACTTTTCAGCTGTTTAACTGTTCAGTAAAAATAATTTTCTCATCCTTTATGAATGATTACCTGAGGAATGTATCACAGTAATGAAAATGTGGATAAATTGCTGTTGTTACTAATAATTTGACCAATAAAAATATACTATAGGGATATCCATCATTTTATACAGTTTGAAAGCTGTGACAATAAGGATTACCATCTTCACAGGTTGACACATATGTTTTAGTAGTAGTTTTGGTCAATAATGTTAACCCTGATTGGCAGATCTGTTATTGGAAATAGTGGGAGGCATAATGACTCCATCAGTCCATTATTCAAATAATAGCCAACAGATTACATATAGAGTCAATATAGAATTATTCGAAAAAGAAATAGAAAATGGAGACGATGAAGTTAAATAGGCCTGTCACTGCTGCTTGACCAACTTCTGAACATGTGATAGGAGTCCGAGCCACTGCAGTAAACGGATATCTCTTCTCTAAAAGTTCTCTGCAAGTGTTGAGGCTCCATACGTGTATGTTATGTAAGTTCTCTTCGTCCTCTCCCGCCTAAGGAGTGTGAGGTGACTAGGGCTGCGCCTGGATCTCTCTATGTCTGCTTTTGATTGTGTAGATAGATAGATAGATAGATAGATAGATAGATAGATAGATAGATAGAAATGCATTGAATTTCCTTGATTTAAATGCATATTTCATGTCCAAATAAAAATTATTATATCTCCATAATACCTTTTTCCACATTTTTACTTAAAGTGGAAAGGATGCACATAAAATACAATGCTTTACTTCTTGCAGTGTAAACAGACAGACCGACAGACAGATGGACAGATAGATAGATAGATAGATAGATAGGCAGACAGACAGGCAGACAGACAGACAGAATGGGGGAAAGTCAAGTCACAACAGTATTCAGAACTATACTAAATGCCCTTTTTTCATGATGCCCATCTTTCCCCTGCAAATTAAATGGCTTTCGTGAAACTAGTACGACTAGTCTAGTATGCTTGTTTTACAAAACAAAAGGACAGCGTGGATAGAGAGGCGTGAGTCACACAGCAAACCCTCTGCGCCACTCATTAACCTGAAATCCTCTCTCAAGGAGCCACTCTTAACATCAATGAAAATGTGCTTCACTGTTCTAAGAGTTTAAAACCGATTGAGCGTTCACATAGAAACCCACACTGAACACAGTATGGCTGCTGACCAATTTCTGCTCATGTGTTTTATAATGGGAGTCACCCAGATAGTGTCCACTGGCATTGACTTGGGCTACAGACAGCAGCTCAAAGAAACCCTTATCAAAACAAATCAACAGATCCATCATAGTCAGTCAATTTCTCAGACATCACCATATGCCAACACCAGCCATTTCTGTGATTATATTATTCAGAATAGCAGGTGTTTTTCAGGGAAGGCTGGAGCCTCACATATTGTGCACACTGAATAATCAGAGACCCATTAAACATTGGTTAAGCGCAAATGGGACTTGGGTCAAGCACAAAACCTGCTTAGCTGGCTCTCTGTTGTCTGTCTTTACACCTGAGCTCATGCAAAGGGAGTGCCCACCCCATGCC